TAAATTTTTTTCCTGTTGCTCAGGATACCCACAAGGATGAATTTAGGTAACATTCAGAGGCTTCCTGGGTAAGATGTCTTATGAAATATCATACAACTGGCAAGTCCTAAACACTCCAACTAATTCTTTCATTTGCCACAGACTGACTGGATAAGCAGTCTTAAGGCTTTTTCACACTGAAAAAAACAGGCCTTTTGGTGTCAGAGCTTCCAGGATTAAACATTCTTTCCAGTTGTTGGCTCATGGCCTGAAGATCCTGCACTTTCAAACTTACCCCATTCTAGCTAGTTCAAAGATCAGGAAAATGAAGCCATCTTCTTTGCAGCCATAATCCACGACCCATGCTGTTAGATACTTAAGAACATCTCAAAAGCAAACTACCTTGTTTCAGCTGCCAGCAGGAGCTCAGCAGGGCGTGGGTCACATGACTGCAAGGCCAGCCTGCTCAGGTGACTCAGTGGCTAATCTGATTTGGTGACTATAAAACTTTAATCAGTACAGTCTAATACCAGCACATTCCACAACTGATGAGCCAAGCAGCCCGGCGATGGAACAGCAAACACTAATAAGATTATGAATCAGAACTGCCACTAGGACGTGGTTTTCTGGTTCTCTATCCCACACGCAAATCCTGCAGAAAAATATCACTGAAAACTGGTCTGGCAGACATTCATAAATGAAATAAATTTCACATAAAATGGGCTGGCGTTTTATTCCAAAATGAACAGCATTTCATTCAAACACAAGAGCATACGTGAATCATGCAGCACAATTAAAACCCAGCAAAACCATTAATTTGCAAGCAAAGACAACAGAACACATCCCTCAATAACACCCTGTTGTTAAGGAACACTGCCCAGAAAATACTGCTGGTGTTAACTGGAGGCCCTATGAGCCCACATGCGTAAGCCATGTGGCAAAGAGAGGCCAGGACAACTGTGCTTCCTCTTATTGATGCCTTCTGTCCCTGTGTGATCACTACTAACTGATGAGCAGAGGCTGGACAGAGCTAAAGAATAAAGCAGGGATTGATTCAAAGGATCTCCTCCATGGATCCACCTTGGGCAGCACCAGAGCCCAGCCAGGGCTGCACCCAAATGACCCAAAATGGTCCCAAAATGCACGAGCGCTCCCGGGGGCTCTCCCTGGGATCAGTTCTGCTCCATTGGCACCTTGGAGTTCATTGTCCCATTCCAGCTTCAGCCCAGGCAGTCCCATCCTGCTTGTTTTTCTCTCTCCAGCCCACGGTGTTTGTGCTCCTGGGCTGAGATTTGGATCATTTGTCCTTGGTGCCCAGCTGGAGCAGGAATTGTTTTGTGTCCCTGCTCTGTGCAGAGAGCTCAGCATCCCCTCGTGTGAAGCTCAGAAGTGCACACTAAAGCAGCACAGAATGTGAGAAATAGAAAAGCTAAATCTGAGGCATCATTATCAACCACAAACAGCCAAATCACACTTCAAGAGCTGCTATTCTGGGGAAACCAGGATTTCCCCCAAGTATGCAGGGTACAGTTTTGGAAGAGAAATGTCAAATGTTCTTGCAGATCAAATTCCAAGTATAACCCTTTCCTAAATATTCTGATAGCTCTCTCACTCACCATTGCATTCCCTCCATTTTCTTTTTCCCTTAGGGAATTTTTATCCCAAATCATCCTAATCCATTTTAGAATCTGCATTTTGCACAGACATATAGCTGAATTGGACCAGCAAGTTTGCAAGAAGAGGAAAACAGAGAGCTTGATCTCTCCACAGCACAGTTAGAATTTGCAGTTAAAACTGACATCCCCATTTGACCAGGTCTAGGTGACAACATGTGAGCTGCGAGGAAGGAAAGCTGATTATTCCACAGTTTGAGACATCCCAAAATAGACAAAAGATGTTTAAACACTCTCCAATGAGCTGAGTATGACCCCTGGCAATTGCCATAGCTCAGCTGAAAGAAATAACTTCCCAAGACACTTCCTGAGCACTGGAAATCGTTCCCATGTTCCTTAGCTTCTCTGCATTTCCATTCCACCCTTGGAGCAGGAACAGGAGGGTTTATCTACCTCATAATGTGCATTTCAGGTTTGGGCTGATGTCTAGAATTACAGTCCCTGTGGTCTTGCTTTCTGCCAGACAGCAGATGCTAGTTGGATCTCCTACAACAACTGAAAATTCAAAACTGGACATGTGCAAACCTTCAGTATCATTCAAAAAGAGTGAAAAAACTATTGTTATTCCTGCAAATGAAACATCATTGATTTAAAAATAATTAACTAAAAATAAATATTAAATTAAATTCCCATTAAATAAGTTCTTTCTCTGAAATTTGTCTGATACACAGGTAAAGTCAAATGTTGTAAGCAGTATTTGCATAAGCACATATGCAGTTGGAAAGCTTTACTGTATTAAAATGTTAACATTCGAAAAATCTCCCACCTATTGAAAAATAGCTTATTTCCACTCGCTGTCTAAATCAGTTGGACTTTAACTGCACCCATGAGGATAAAATGTGACTGAGGGAAAATGAACAACACAGAAGTACTGCTGTGTTTTAAAAGTTCAGTTCTCATACTAAAAAAATTGTATCCATGATTTTGTTATATATAAAACAGTCTCTCCCACTATAAGTTATAATGTAAGACACCATTTCTCTGTATTTGGAAGGATATCTACAAAAAAAATTGTAACAAAAATGTCACTTTATTTAAAAATCCTTTTTTTTTTAATGTAAAAATCCAATTTTTATTCTGAAATAATTACAAAGTTCCAGCTAGCAAGAGCTGGGAGGTTGGGCTGACCTTTTCCATGCAGCTCCAGCTCACAGGACGCCACAAAACAAAACTATGAACAAAGTCAATCAATAGCTCCAAGTCAGGTTAGGGAGCTCAATCAGCCCAAGGAGGGAACTGACCAGCACCAGGGTTTGCTGGATTGGAAACAGAAGAGGAACAGGGAGTGAGATTTCCTCTTTTGCAACCCTGACCCACTGGATCAGCTCCTAAGCCACTGAGATTGCCAGGAAATGTGCAGTTTATCCAAGAAACACTAAAAATGGTAGGGGCATGGCACAATCGTCCCATTTCCAAAATACTTTCATTATGTGTGTTCTCTTTGCAACAGGAAAAAGAAGAAAGGAAAAAAAAGAAATAGAAGGAATTATTTAGCCTCTAATTTCAATTGGCCTGTAGGAAAATGAGGTTAAAAAAAGTATTAAAAACCCTTACATGTCAGGCAAGCAGTAATGAAAGAACAAAAGAGGGCTCAGCCCTGAATGTATGTTCACCTACCCTGTGAAGTTAAGACAACCTACAATAGTGACTTTTAACTAAAAAAACAATAAAGCAAGGAAATACTTTGTGTTAATGAAGTAAGAGAAGAAAATGTACTGCTTGGAATGGGAAAAAATCATCCCAGAGACTGAGTTCATCACTGGATTCTCTTTCTGACAGGCAAGCAGTGACTTATTAAAGATATCCTTATCACTGGGTCATGAGCTTCTGAAACAAAGCTGTCCAACAGATATCCTGTGTCACACACACCTGCAATATGCAGGGACTGGGGCTCCAGGAGGACAGCACAGTAAGCACAGTAAGAAATGACAGTCACTGTGATGTTTAAAAGTGGAGAACTCTCCCTGCGCTTCAGGCTCCTCTTCAGTCAGACAGAATTCACCACACAGGATCCCACTGACAGAAAGAGATGGCCAAACCCTTTTAGAAGAATCAGGAATTATGCTTTGGGTCTTTAGTTTGTTGGTCTTTCCTGTTCCAGATATTCACACCTCATTGTTCACATATTACAGAAGTGAAATTAAATACCTGTATTTAATTCTTGCCATGGTTTCCAAGGTCCTTTGATTTTCTCCTCTACAGATAGATACTTCAAACTTTCACTAAGCAAGAATCTATACTAAAATTTAAGTAGTATTCACTGTCTCACAGTTTAGCAGAAAATACAAAATCTTAAGACTACCTGATACTCCTGATAAAAGATTTTGACCTGTTCACTGCTTAGCATGTGTGGAAGCTTGGCCAGCAGCAAAAAGAGCATCCTTTCCCCAGCTAGGGACACATCATGCTGAAGTTTCATGTCCCTGAATTTGAATTGGATATGAAGGAATCACTCTGAGGTTCAGGACTGCCCACATATTGCTGCTCTTTCATGCTACTCATATTTAACACAAGGATTTTTTCCCCTCAATTAAAAAGATATTCAAGAACCACAGGTGTTCAGCAATTTGGCTCAGAACAACAGTAAACATTGTTCATTGGAATTCAACAGCGAGAGTGAGGGATTATAGTATTAAAGCTTCGTTTTTCTATTCTGCTTGTACAAGTGTCTTCAAGCAGCTTGGGATGCATCTGAATAACCAACAGATGAAAAACAAACATAAAAATACTTGTGGTAGCGGTTCTGTATACTGACAGGGGCTTCCTTTGCTTTCAGAGCACCAGAACATAGAGCGTTGACTGACAAAGCAAACATACTAGAACTTGTCAAAGCATTTTAATGTCGTTTAACTTTTTCCACGCTGATCTTGCTCCCAAGTTAAGGCATTAACCACACGCTCGCTACAGCTCTGTGGCTATGCACAAACAAGCAGAGACCCAAGTATACTCACGTACCACGTTACACGCAGCCATGGAAATACATTTTACAAGTACTTTTCCCTTGCAGGCTCTTTCCGAAGGGGCTGATGCCGCGCTGGGCGAGCCCGTCCACCCACGGCCCGCCGCACTCCCAGCCCTGCACACACCCCGCGGGTATCCCCTCCACAGCACCTGTACCGCACTCCCCGCCCCGATCCGTGCCCGCTGCCGGCCCCCCAACCCGGACAAAGCCCCGGTGCCCTCGGCCCCAGACACGGCCCCGGAGCCGCTCTCACCTCCCCGCTCGCCGCCGGGCCCTCCACCGCCCCCCGGCTCCGCACGTGCCAACAACGCGGGCTCCCATTGGGCGGCGGCTCCCCGAGCCGCTCCCCCATTGGCGGATCCCGGCCCGGCCCTCCCGGCTCCGACATGGCGGCGGCCGGCGGGGCGCGGGGCCGCACCAGCTTCCAGCGCCGGCCCGGGGCCGGCCCGCGGCCGCCCGCCCTGCCGGGCACCCGGCCCGCGCTGCGCCGCGGGCAGCTGCTGCTCTCCAGCGGGCTGCCCTCCCTGGACTGTGTGCTAGGTTGGTGGGAGCGGGACTGGGACCCGGTGCTGCGCCCCCGCCGCCCTCCCCTCTGCCGGGCCCTGCCCGCCCGTAACCCCGGCTGCTCCCGAGCTTCTCCTTCCTCCCCTCGGTCCCGGGGGTCGCGGGGAGGGCGGGAGGGGCGGCGGTGCGGGGGAGGAGCCGTGCCGCGCCGCCATCGCTCCGGGCAGCCTTGCGGAGCTGCCCCGTGAATGCGCCTGGCAGCGCACGGCTGGGCACTGCCCCGCGGCTTCTGACAGGCGTTCGGCTGGAAAGGCCGTGTGTGCTGCCAGGGTTGCTGCCAGGGTTTTGCCTGGACAAGCCATGTGTGCTGCCAGGGTTTCTGCCAGGGTTTCTTCTGGAAAAGCCGCGTGTGCTGCCTGGTTTTCTCCTGGACAAGCTGTGTGTGCTGCCAGGGTTTCTGACAAGGTTTCGGCCGGACAGCCATGTGTGCAACCAGGGTTTCGCCTGGAAAAGCTGTGTGTGCTACCAAGGGTTTCTTTCAGGGTTTTGCCTGGACAAGCCATGTGTGCTGCCAGGGTTTCTCCTGGAAAAGCCGCGTGTGCTGCCAGGGTTTCACCTGGACAAGCCATGTGTGCCACCAGGGTTTCTGCCAGGATTTCGGCTGGAAAAGCTGTGTGTGTGCTGCCGGGGTTTCTGCCAGGATTTCGCCTGGAAAAGCCGTGTTTGCCACCAGGGTTTTGCCTGGACAAGCCATGTGTGCTGCCAGGGTTTCTGCCAGGATT